GAGTGTGTAGACTTTTTTGTTCTTTCAAAAACATATTAGTATAAGCAAAACTCCAAACACTGCACAAAAATTAGAAAAAGAAACACATCCAGCACTTATCTTGATAAATCTTGCTTTTGTCAGTGAATTGGTTCATCTACCACAGGAAACTGTAGATTCATACCATTTTCACCTTCAAGTTTTGTCTGTCGATTCATTTAGTTGGTTCATGTATTCCTTGCTTATACCACACTGCTGCTTGTGAATGAGAGCTGTCCCCAGTCGAAAGATAAATGTATGACTTTCTAGCTTTTCAACATCATGAGGCTTCACATTTCAGTTTCTACATTGGATATCTGCAATTGAATTCTTTCAGCTACGCATTTCCAAAAGCAGTATCTTGTTCTGCAGATACTTTTAAACAGTAAATTAAAAAAAACTACAAAATAAGAACTGACAGAAAATTGGTGGTTCCAGATTTGTGTAGTCATTGAAGATAAAGATTTCATTGATTCAACCATGGATGGAAAACCTTGGAAGGCTGGAAAGTTTGCTTTTAGCCTTCGGGTTTCTTTGTGGGCAGAGCACCTTGGTTTATGTGCTGAAGAGGTCAGTGATGCTTCGAACTTCCAATGGCATAAGATTTCCTCTCATGGATTTATACAGTATGTTTTAAAATACAGCAACTAAAGACTATCCTTTTTTTTTCCAGACTTGTCAAATCAAAGATCCAGTGGCTAACTCTACTTACAAAGATATATGGATGGCAACTGCAGAGGTGAGATTGGTGTTCTTACTTTAGTTGATTGCCTTCAAAGAAAAGCAATATGAAAGTATGATAATACTAATTCTCGAAAGAAGCACAAAATAATTCTGCCGTATGCCCATGTTTTGGTGATGATACTACACAAACATAGAAAGAAAGCTTCCACAGCAATTCCATTATCACTCTTATCTGTTTGTTTTAGTTATTTAATTGCCTTTATGTAACTGCCCATTGACAGAAATACATATCGTTTCTATTTAGTAGCCATGCCTGAAATCTTGTTCAAACTGCACAATCCGGTCACTTAGATTTTCATCTCAGAGCATCAATAACTCTTTGTATCTCTTATGTTTCAGTCAAATGCCACGATTTACCAAGACGTGTTCTCTTGCATCCCAAATGATGTTATTCACTCGAGGTACGTGACCATCACATCGACTTTCCACCATGTTTTTCTCTTTTATGGAGGCGGGGAAGAGTAGTCAGTAGCGCAAAGTTTTTGATCATGCTCAGTTGCTTATGTTATCTAATGTCATCCTGGATATGAATGCAGGTCTGAACTTCGACAATGTATGAACCATTGGAAAGATAAGCTTGGGCACACTACTATTGATCTAGGTGTTGCTCCTGATAAACTTGAATCTCAGGTTGATGGGGAAGTAGATGTAGTGAATACGAAAGAGAAGTTAAAGTCAGTCAAAGGACATCTTGTTTCTTTCCCCTTGGAGTTCATGCGTGAGGAAGATTTGAGACCGGCGTTTATGGAGACCGAGTTTTATACTTCTCCTCAAGTGTTCCATTAAGCTACAAATTAAGTTGTGATATGTATATATCTAGGCTCTGTGTTTGAGAAAGTGTACATATGTTCTTATTATGTATATATGTTGGAATGCATTTTAGGACTGAAACTTTTTGTGTTTCAGTGTTTTCAAAAATGTTTTTGGGCGAGTCCCAAGGCGAGTTTTAAAAATATTTCGAGCATAAATTAAAGATGATGTAGATCTATAAGACGAGATTTTTAAAATTTGAGGCATAACTCTCGAGCATAAAAACGTAAGTTTTGGGAGTAAAAACATACGCCTGGATATTTTTAATTTAGTTTTTAACCCTTTTTGCTTTATATCATATTTTTATTATTGGTGTAATGATATTTTATCATATGATAACTATAATATTTTTTTTCTTTGTTATTGATCATTAATGCTTATCTCAAATAAGAATTATAAGTTATTGAAAGGTTTACTTTTGCTTATTTTAGTTGTAACAAAACTATAAAATTGAATATACATGAGACTACGCCCGGTAGATCTATGCAGTTATGTTCATGTCTCGAGGCTTATGCCTTGCTCTGTACGGAATAAAACGTTTTGCCTCACGCTCTCGCCTTTTTTAAAACATTGTTGTGTTTGAAGATACCAAACTGCAATTCTTCCCCGAGCCTCTCGTGGGTATTTTAGAAACCAACCTTATTCTTTCAGGAACTACCTGAGTTTGTCCAAAAATATCTTTGGTGTTTCCTGAAAATAATATATTGCTGTTCAGATCTTCTATTTACCTATTTATGTTACACTAAAATTATAAGTGAGTTGAGCATAGCCTTATTACTTTCTCTCTTTTAATTTATTTGATCTACTTTTTAAAAGAATGATCATTTCCTTATTTATTTTTTTAATAGCTTTTTAATTTTGACATGATATATTCAAACAATACTATTAAAAGATATTTTGATGTCGTAGCAATTTAATGCAACCTCGGAAAGAATGAGAATTTTCCATATCCCATTTCCCAATACAGTACAAGGCGGGAATTTTTGGCGCCATTTCAGTTTTGACAGTGAAAATTCCCCTCTACATAAACCTCCCACTCACTCTACAAACCCTAACACTGTCATAAACTTGTCTTCAACATTCCTTCTTCCAAAAATGGCAGAAAATCAGATCAACTCTCCTGAGATCACAGAACCTTCTCCCAAGGTTCAGAAACTGGACCACCCTGAAAACGGCAATGTCCCCTTTTTCCGAGTGAAGAAGCTCTCTGAAAACGCTGTTTTGCCCTCAAGAGCCTCTTCTCTTGCTGCTGGTTATGATCTATCAAGGTCAGACTTTCACTAAGTTTATTTTTTTCGTTAAATCCATTTGGAAGCTCGAATTGTTTTTTCTAAATTGTTTGTTTTGGTTTGATTTACAGTGCAGCTCGAATTATTTTTCTAAATTGTTTGTTTTGGTTTGTTTTACAGTGCTGCAGAGACTAAAGTTCCCGCCAGAGGCAAGGCTCTTGTACCCACAGATCTCAGTATTGCTGTTCCTCAAGGAACCTATGCTCGTATTGGTAATTTCTTCCTTACTTTTTGAAATCACAAGATTTTTATTAGGGCATGGTCCCTATGATTTTAACTATTTTGGGGAAAATAAGTTTTTTAGAGTAAGAAAAGCAAGTTACACAAGTGTTAGTCCACATTGGTTATGTTATCTCATGATTTGCTATATTTTGGGGTGTTTTTTTCATTTGGTTATAGCACCTCGTTCTGGTTTGGCATGGAAGTATTCTATAGATGTTGGAGCTGGAGTCATAGATGCTGATTATAGAGGGCCTGTTGGGGTAGTATTGTTCAACCACTCTGAAGTTGATTTTGAAGTCAAGGCTGGTGATAGGATAGCTCAGCTTATTGTTCAGAAAATTGTGACACCAGAGGTGGAGCAAGTTGATGATCTTGACTCAACTGTCAGAGGCTCTGGTGGCTTTGGATCCACCGGAGTGTGAAGAAAAATAAATCAGTTTTAACATTGCAGTATTAAAATATTATCTAGTAGGTTTTGACTAATATATGGTATTCTGGGTAATACTAAAATCCTAGTATTTGGTTTATAGATTAAGCAGTGGGAGATTTTGGAAATGTATTTTGGATCAAATGTATATCTCACTGATCTTTAAATGCCTCAGTGCATGTTGATCTATAGTTAAGTACTTGATGAATATATTGTTCGAACTTATTGCTAGCAAAACTATGTTTTTATTTGTTACTAACTTCAGCTTATGAGGGTCATCTCCAACTTGGCTCATTTTCATGAATTGAGGATGTTGTAGATGATGCAATGTCAATCAATGAAGGTTTATTATCTGTTATGAGAAAATTATTTTCAAATGAAATTAGTTTATTGAGTTGTTGGCAAAGTCAATTACAGAGAGGCAACTCAATATGGAGAGCAAAGATAATAAAATTTAAAGAAAATATAATGATATTGTGTAATTTACATTCTATTAGTGAACCCTCTGTTCGTGAATTTATTCGACAAAGAACAAAAATTAATTTTCTCTCCCTCCCTAATTTATTCACTTTTAAATAAATACACCTATTAATGACATAGCAAGTGGATGAAAAGTTTTATATTTTTAAAAATAATTAGTCATTTAATTGAAGATATAATAGATTAAAAAAATATTTTTTTTTGATTTATCAAAATAAATAAGAAATTAGGAATAATTATAAAAGAAAAAGTAAATAAGTAGTTAGGGCTAGATGAGTAATAATAACTAAAAGAAGTCAACAATTTCATCTTCAAGACAACTCTATTTTGATGATGATGCATTTGGAATCAACCTACAAGTAGTTATAATTTTGTAAATTATTATGTCATTTTGATTTCAGTATGTCATTGAACGTTTATGTAATGTTGTTATTGTGTTATAGCATTTTTCATTGTAGTGATATTTAGGTCTCAGTTTTCTTAATTCACAATCATGATAATATGCATCGATATAATAATGTCTATGTTAATGGGGTAAGTCAAATACTATCACTTTCATAGCCGTTTGAAATGGTTTCTTGAGTTGTACAATAATAAGCCCTAATTTCCTTGTTGACATGTAGTGACCTTTGCTATCTTATTTTCTTGGGCTGACTTTTTAGCCACACGTACGTCTAACTCATTGTTTAGTTCTGTCCTAAGTTAGGGAAACTTCTCCAGAATTTCTAGAGCAGAAAATTCAACTCTTCTTCAATTGCAGATAGGCTTCATTCATTGAACTTTACCTACTACAGTTCGTTATTTCTGCACCACTTGGAAGCATTCTCTAATGGAGAAATATTGTTAGTGACTATTCATATAGTCGATTCCTATTGTTTGGTACTTTAAAGAACACCTAGTTCTAAGACTTGTTTGATCTAATAGAATAAGTATCTAGACTAATACCAATCCATTTTGTGAATAAACTGTGAAACAATAAGCTAAACTAAAATCAGGTAAGATGGAGAACATGTGACAGAAACTTGCGTTTTCTTATTTTGGAGTAGTTACAGGGTAAATATGCTGACAGAAATGCTTAGAAAGAAAGAAGAGTACAATGGCTGAAATATCATCTACAGCTATCCCTCTCCTCTTACGTTTCCAAGCACGAACAGCACATTGAACAAGATGCTTGGCTGCTTTTGCCCTATCTGGAGTTTCAGATACAATTTCTACAGCCTCTTCATTCGATATAACATCCCATACCTGCATTTAAGAAACTATACTTTAGTCTCAAAAGTCTATGTAATACAATGTTGTTGTGGCCATGATGGCCTCTTCTGTTGAACCGATGAATCTTTAGTCAATTACATATGCTTATCATTTTACATGTACCTACTTTTGTTCTTATGTGCATAATTAAGAAATATCATAGAGTACTATAATCCAGAAGGCTAAACATACCCCATCTGTTGCCAGCACAACAAATTGGTCTTTGCTTGTGATATGCCTTTGTGTCACGTCAGGCACTGAAATTAGACCAAAATCTTTCACGCAATAGTCCCCGAAGGCTCTAGACATTGCCAATCCAGGGGAGGATTCGTCGGGCAGCCATAATCGGTGCACCCCAGATTCATCATCTAAGCAAAATACTCTACCATTACACTGCAGTATTCTCTCAGTTTCCTCTGCAAGAAAAAAGAAACATCAAACTAAAATACACGTATATCCATTATATTGGAGTGTCATGTACAGCGGGGAGCATAGAGAGGAAGATAGAGGTATATAACGGACTCACGAGGTAGATTAGGTTTGAAATCAACAGTGAGCTGAACTGGTACCAAGTTGCCATCATCGCACGTGGTAGCTAATACTGCACGTGAGTCGCCAACATTTGCTATAAATAAAACCTCACCCTGCAACACATTTAACGTTAAGATAATAAAGCAAATTTCGATGATAAGGGAACTATGAACTTCATATTTCTGTAGAGATATAAAAGATTTCAAACTTCTACTTCACCCAAGGTTTAGTTTACTCCCTCCATTTTAAACATTCAATAATTTAGCATACTTTTCTTACATTGAGTTCTACTTATAATCTGTTAAATATTAAAATGAAGGGGACACTCAAAAGCACAATATGGCTTTACACAACAAGGTTTAGTCTACTACTCCATTTTAATTTGCTCATCTTACATTGCATTTTTGTACATTCTACGTATTTTTAGTTTAAGATCACAGATTCAAAAAAGGAATACTTTCACAAACTCTGTGCCAAGATGAAACCACACAAACAAATTGAAACGGATACAAAGCCAAGTTGGCAAAAATTGGATGACAAGACAAGAATTACCAGATAGCTGAAGCAAATTACCTGTCTGACTATTGTCAAAGCAGTGGTTCCACTGTAAAATGTATCAATTTTGGGATGGTGTTCCAGCTCCTGATCCACAGTTGCACATGCCTTTAAGAAGGACTCCTTCCATATGTTAAACCTTTGAGCCTTTTTATCCAAATCTGGATCAGCTGAAGCCTCAGCTAAACTCTCCTGCCAAAGGCAAAGCAACGATGATACTATCGATTCTCGAACCTTCTTTGACACAAAATGACCCCAAGGACCATGCCCATCAAATATACCACAGAATGTCATGTCTTCTTGGCATCCAAATTCCTGTAATGGAACAAAGAATCCATCATCATATACAATGCCGGATCTAGGATTTTCACTCATGTGTTCCAAAAATAAAAATCATCATGAAAATCTACCCTATATATACAGTGTAAATTTTTGTCGATGGGGGCTCAGGTGAATACCAGTTCGCCCCTCTAGTTCCGTCATTGATCACATAGCTCAAAACAAAAGACTCTCACAAAGATCAACATATTAATGACTTAGTATTGATCACAAATAGGGAAGTAACTGAAATTTACCTCCCAAACAATGAAGCAATCTTGATTTACGCCTTTTTCACCCCTCCTTGAGAATAATGAAGCGAAATTCTTAGAACCATCAACATTTACAGTCCCTGAAGACCTTAATATCAAGTCATTTCTCTTGGCTTCTTTAGCCATAGCTTCAACAGCATCTCTACCATCATATTTCCCATTTCCAGAACTATTCTTTCTTTTCTTCAAAGAAAAAGACCTTGCTAATCCATTAAACATTGAAGAAAAATGCCCCATTTCAACCTTTCTTTAATTTAAACTACCCAAATACCCTCCTGCAGAAGAAAGGCAAGATAATCTTGAGATTTATAGGTACAACAACCCCAAAAAATATGCATATCATATTTAGTAAAAAAACTGAAACACACACACACACACCCCATGACATGAATCAAGTAATTAGATATACTTAGCTGAGGTAAAAAGGGATGTGATCCGAGTCAGAAAGTTAAGAATCAACAGATTTAAAAATTCAGAAATATCCAAAAATGATGAATCTGAACAAGGACTAAAGAACCTTTTAACTATACAAGAAAAGCAGAGAATATACAAACTCCAACTCGGAATTCCAACAACATAAAAATGTCAGAAGAATGAACAGATACCCATTAATCCATTAACACTAGACAATTCCCACCATCTATTTTTTAAACATAAACATAGAAAGACAACTTCTTTACACTTGAAAAACCTTGTCCCTTTTTACCATTTTTCTCAATTTACCAAACACAGTTTATTTAGCTGAGAACATAAAAACAAACAAAAAAAAACAAGTAACTTTTGCAACAGATTATTCAAAAACTGAACCCTCGTTCACGGGGCGAAAGTTCAGATATTCAAAACAACAAATCAAGATTCACTAAAAAGTTTAAAACTTAACTACTCCGTATCTTTTTTTCTTCATTTTCTTGGTTAAAAAAAAAGTCCCAAAAAAAGAACACAACTTGCTTAACCAAATAACACCCTTATGTTACTGAAACAGGGTAAAAAGGAAAAGACTAAATGAACCACCTTCGGTTTAACTTTCCGGTGGAATATGGTCGGAGAAAATGGCCGGAGAGTTATTAACAGGTCGGAAAATCAGAAAAAGATTGCCGGCAAATGAGGAAACTCGAAGGGGGTGAGCTGAGAAATCGAGAGAAAAGAAGAGAATCCATTAAAAAGATTACGTTGGTTTATGATCCTTTAAAGGGAAAGAGAAAAGGAGACAAACAGAGTTTGGTTTTATTTTTGTACAGTGACATTACTAACATACACGGTGCGTACATTAATAAACATGTGGTGTGCAACTTCCTTTGTACCTGTATTAATTATTTTCTTAAAATATGCTCAAATGTCTATATTACCCTCCATTTCGTCGAGATATTTTTTTGGCCATGCATTAATTTGCAATTTTATTTTTTTTTAACAACCAAATTCTAAATTCGAATCTTTTAGCTGGAAATTTTGTTGATACTCAAAAGAAATAGTACAATTGCATGTACTAATAAGGGACGTCAATAAATTATTTAAAAAATTGAAGTAAAATTTATTTTATTTAATTATTTAATTTTAACTTTTTACAAAAATATTTAAAATTTTTATTTTCTTAAATTTCATTTCAAGTTAAAATCTGACAAGCAACTGAAACAAAAGGAATACATATTAGGTTTCCAAAATTTATTATTTCCTATATTTTGTTTTATATATATAATATGGTATTTAAATGTAAGATATTTAAAAAAATAAATCAACACATAAACTGACTAAGGGCATATACATGAAACTACATATCAAAAATAACTTTAGTATGTAGTGGTTTTCAACATGTCGTATCAATTCGTATTGTAACATATATTCAATAATAAAGCAAAAATGTTAAATAAAAAGAAACTTTCAAATATATATATATATATATATATATATATATATATAATAATAAGTTAGTG